ACAAACTTGCTGTGTCATAGCCACAGAGTCATTTTGCCACACTGTGATTCAATTTTTCCTTCCAGAAAATGGGGGTAACACCCCTTGCTTAAAAGGTAGCCTGCAATTGTATGAGATTATTACCTAAATGTTTATTTACACCCACGGCCACTCCCAAAGATACTGCAAGGTTTCTTTAAGCTCAGCAGACAGCAATGTACTACAGGTTAGAGATACACTATGGAAAGGACTGTTGTTCATAACATGAAATCAACAACAATTAAAATTGTTCGATTTCTGAAGACAGAATTATGGTAATTAAAGCAAGCAGTCTTGTGAGGGGTAATGGGAAATAGTGGAAATGGGGCTGGACCTGGAGTCAGAAGACTTATGCATGACCATCTGTTGCTAGAAAGGCATTATAATATAGTGGAAAGATCAATGGATCTGATATTAGGAAATCTGGATTGAAATCCTCAGACTGATTAGTTAGCTGTGTGACTATGAGCAAGTTCCTTCACCCCTCTGAGCCTAGTGGGGAGTTAGAGCGATGCAGAGATTGACTTAAACTGGGAATAAAAAATGCAACATGACTGGAGCCTTGATGATCCCAGAAATAGTGATCCCAGCCTAGGATGCACTAACCAGGAGGAAGGGCAGACCTCAGGGGATAAGCAGTCCAGAGAGTGAGTTGAGCTGGAAGAAGTGTTATATAAGTGTGAACTAATATGTTAAGTGCTATATATGCTGCTATAGAAGTGTAAACTTCATTTAAATTGACTTTCAAACCATTATCACAGAGACAGAGAGAGAGAGAGACAGAGAGAGAGAGAGAGAGAGAGAGAGAGAGAGAGAGGCAGGGTGGTGCAATGGTTGGTTATAGGGACAATCTTAGAATTAGGAAAATCCAGATGCAGATCCTGCCTGGCTGTATGACCCTAGGCAAGTTACTTATACTTCTCAGAGTTATGGCAATTCTCTAAGACAATAAGTTGCAGACAGGTATATGATAGAATAGGAGTATCTACATTAGGAACTAACTGCATTGATCATAGTCATAGCTCTGATCACAAACACAGCACACACACACACACACACACACACACACACACACACACACAGAGTGCAAAATAGATGGCTGAAACTGCACCTGAATAAAAGATGCTAGTCACTTTGCTATGCCTGGCAGCATTGGACTGTGAATCAGTGACAAGCCAGATGGAGAATCCATAGCTCTTTCATTGGTATGTGACCTTAAGAAACATATTGGAGTTCTGGGTGCTTTGGTTTCCTCCTCTGTGAGATGGAGATCATAGAAACTGTCCTACAGTACCTACCTCACAAGTTGCTGTGAGGGTCAAATGAGGTAGCAGTGCTTTGAATGCAAAGGTGATAGATTTTTTATTATACGGAACTAACTCATAGGCTTTAAACCTGGAAAGGACTGTTAATCCCATTGAGTTCAACCTCCCCCATTTTATAGCTATGGAATATGACACTCAAAAGGGGCACTAGTCCAAGGCCACACAGGTAGCAAGTCAACAGAGCCAGCTCCTTTATAACAGAAGATTCATGAGGGGGTGAGGGTGGGGCAATGGAGGGGAATAACTGTCTTCATGTGTTTGAAGGGCTGTCACACAGAGCTAGGTGGTGCAGTGGATAGATCCTGGGCCTGGAGTCAGGAAGATTCGTGTCCATGAGTTCACATCTGGCCTCAGACATTAGCTGTGAAACCTTAAGCAAGTCACTTAACGCTGTTTACCTCAGTTTCCTCATCTGTAAAATGAACTGGAGAAGGAAATGGCAAACCACTCTAGTATCTTTGCCAAGAAAATCCCAAATGGAGACCTAGAGAGTTGGACATGACTGAAACAACCAAATAACAACATTTCAAGGAGGAATTAGATTTGTTCCCTATGTTGCCAGAGAGCAGAACCAGGATTGGTAGAAACCATAAAAAGGAAAATTTGTATTCAGTATCAGGAAAACCTTCCTAATAATTGGAGCTGTCCAAAAATGGAGTGGATTGCCTTAAGAGATGGCAGGCTCCCCTTTCTTGGAGGTCTTCAAGTAGAGGCCAATTGTCAGGTATGTTGGATATTTCAGGGGGGTGTGGGATTAGATGGCCTCTGGCCTTCCAGCTCTCAAATTCTGTGATTATGTGACCTGTCTGGAATAGTATTGACACAAACACAGAAGAAAGTTAGAAAAATTCATTCCCCCCTCCCTATTTTGAGGACTATAGTTTGATGTGATAAATCAATTATAGGACTTCAATTTTGTGAAGGGAAGAAAGGTTTTGTCCCAGATGAAGGTTATCTTTCTCCCTCATTTGATCTTTATACTCCTCTCATGACCTCTTCATTGTATTTGAACTTATATTTCTCTCTGTATATGACTTATCTCACCTATTAGATTGTCAACTCCTCCAGAGGAAGGACCAAGGTTTATTTGTTTGTCTTTGTTTTTGTATCTGAACAGCACCAGACACGGTGTGTTACACACAGCAGCCACATAATAAATGCCTATCAAACAAATGAACAAATCACGCCTTGGTAAAGCATATGTACTTGTTTGCAAATGTAGTCTTTAGCACATTTTTTTCTCCTAAGAGTATAACATACCTCCTCTAGTTCTTCAGCCTTTTGACCCATGAGATTTACATCCCATAATAGAACACACTCCATTTTCTAAAACAGGGGTTCTTAACCTTTTTTTATGACATGGATCCTTTTGGCAAGCCTCTGGACCCCCTCTCAGAATAATGTTTTAAAGTGAATAAAATATAACACATAAGATTACAAAGGAAACCAATGATATTGAAATACAGCTATCAGAGTATCTTTTTTTTTTAATTCATGGACCCCTTGAGGTAAGAACCCTTGATCTAAAGGTTTATAGGTTCAAATCTACAACTAAGTCACTTTCCAAAACATAGCAGTTATTGGCAACAGCCACCATCTTGTTAACTAGCTGATGTTTAATAGCAGATGGTGGCACAACAAATGGTGAGCCAATGTCAGTAACCTGATCTAACCGTAGCTCCAGGGTTCCCTCCTTCCTCTGCCTCTGTTTCTTCCTCTACTTCCTTTTTTGACTTTAATTTGCTAGTAGATTGCCAAAAAAAAAAGGTGACAAATAATAAAGAAAAACATGAATGGAAAGCCAAGCAACATCTATAAACAAGAATATAACCTGATTAACTACAGCTCCTTCTGAAAAAATTTTTTAAAGCAATCTAATCTAAGAGATCCTCAAGGCCTATTGTGTCCCCTCCCTTCTTTAAAAAGTCTGATCTTGCCATTCTAGGGCTCTGCTTGCTTTCTCAGGGTGTGGCTTACAAAATGCTTCGGTTAAATTGTCTGTAGCTTCTTCCCTAACTGATGAAAATGAGAGGAGAAAAGTGGTAAGAACTCGAGAAATTGCTAATGAGGGAGAGAAAATGCACAGAACATTAGTCATTCCTTCATCAAGGAAGTTTAAATACATATCTTGTAGAATCTATCTTGTTTGAAGAAAGGAAGAGGAAGCTGAAAGATTTTGAAGGTTACCCATAAACTTCTAGAGCTGTAAACAATCTTGGAATATCAGATGTCAGAGATGAGAGACTTTAAGATAGAGAAAATAGAATGTCAGTGCTGGAAAGAGTTTAAGAATAGGGGACACAGAACGTGAGACTTTGGAGATAACCATTTCCAGTCCTTTCATTTTATAGAAACTAAGGGGAGGTTACTTGCTCACAAGAGATCACCCAGCAAGTTAGCAACAGAAACCTCTTTCAGGACTGGAACTCAAAGTCTTCAGAGAGAATATTTGTGCAGTGCTTTTTAAGACTTAAAATGCTATAGAAATGCTAGCTATTATTTATTCTTATTACTTTTCAATTCTTCTTTTACTTCTTTTCAATTATCTTATTACTTCTTGTGAATTAATCTTTTTTGTCACAAAAAAGTTAAATTATTTATTACTTCTTTTCAATTCAATATAACTTTACCAAGATAGCAAAAGACAAAAGAGAGTTAATCAGTTTGCCTCTTGGTGACTATATGTATGTAAAGGTTATTAAAATGTCTGTGCATCTTCTAGCCATTGTCAAAGTAGTTTTTCCTCACAGCTGGCAAGCATGCTGTTGAACTCATTGTGTAGTGACAAAGTAGGAGACATATAATCTCAGGAACAAGTTCCTAGTCCTATATCTACTATTTACAGGTTGTGTGACCTTGGACCTTTGCTTTGTGAACTTTTAAGTACTGCGTGAATGTAAGTTATCATTCTCTCCTCTCTAAGCCTGTTTATCTGTCTGGGAAATGAAAAGTAATTATACATTATTTTAAATTTTTATTAATATTAAATTAATTAAAATAAAAATTAATAAAACTTCAAAAGTCTTTTACATAGATTATCTTGTTTGGTCAACCCCATGAAGTAGCTCCAACTATTATTCATCCCATTCTATAGGGTGAAAAACTGAGACTGATAACCCAGTTAAAATTGAATTACTAGGTCTGACTCCAAATCTGATGCTCTTTCTCTCACTTTAGGTTGCTTCTCAATAACATCTGCTCTGGCTGCTTCACAGAATGGTGATTGGATTCTTTCACTGCTGTAGATTGCCTTCAGTATCAGAAGTCAATCAGAAGTCAGTCAGAAGCCAATCAGTCAGTCAACAAGCATTTATTAAGTGCTGACTATGTGTTGCACACAGTCCTTAGTACTGAGATACAAAAAGAAGCAAAAACAGTCCCTCTATGTGATAGAATGTTCACTTCCTCTCAGTGGCTAGACAAGTATTTTCATGTTTTTAAAAGTGATATTGTTACTCAGATCTATTTTTAATGCCAACCTAGGAGCCAAGAGGGCAGGAAGGTGACACTGTTTCTGGTGTGTAACTAAATAATAGGGCATCCACAGAGAGACAGCAGCTCCTAAGGACAGAGGCAGAAAGTGCAACTGTTTGTTCTGTTGAGGGGTTGTCCCACAATGAACACAGAACTGTAACCACAAAAACAAAGGCTGTAGAGTCCTCCACTATGCTGAGAGATACTTTCTTCCTTAACCCTGTCTGACTTTGTCAACTGTTTCACAGAGGATGAGACTCTGGGGGAGATGAGAAGTCTGCCGGGATTGGTTAGAAGAGAGCAGCCAGAGAGGTAACTCCTTTCTCTGCTACTTACTTGTGATTTGCATGAATGTTTACAGCTGCTGGGAGCTTTGGGTCAGATGGCTTTCAGAGGGCCTGGTGGCACAGGTGTTCCCCTGCCGTGCCATGCAAACCAGCTCGGGCTACATATAACAGCAAAGGCCTCCCACTGCCCGAGCCCTGCGTACATCCAGTGTGCAGGTCAGATTCAGGAGATGACCTCACTTTTATTTACATGGTTCTGAAAGCTGTGTTTAAAAATATAAATCAATTCTCAAGAACCCACAGGAGTTTGGACTTAACAGGAGGCCCTGATGCAAGAGAACACACACAGCATGTGAGAAAAAAAGGATTAGACGACTTCAGGAGACTTAGGTTCAACTTAATTCAACAAACATTTATTAAGCACCTACTGTATGTCAGGCACTGCCCTAGGCTCTCAGATTTTGTTGTTCAATAGTGTCCAACTCTTCATGACCCCATTTGGGGTTTTGCTGGCAAAGATCTGGACTGTTTTGCCACTTTCTTCTCCAGCTCATTTCACAGATAAGGAACTGAGGCAAACAGGGTTAAGTGACTCGCCCAGAGTCGCATGGCTAGTAGGTGTCTGAGGCCATATTTGAACCCATGAAGATAACATCTTTCTGATTCTAGGCCCTGCACTCTAACCACTGCACCACCTAGCTGCCAGGGCCTAAGACACAAAGACAAAAAGGAGACAGGGCCACTCCAGTGGCTTCACTAGGTAAACAGAAAAGTAAATGCAAGACAATTTAAGGTGGGAGAAATCTCTAGCAGGAAAGACATCAGTTGGTAGAAAATGAGATTAGTTTTAAGAAGGTTAAGGATTCTAAGAGATGAAAAGGAACACTTTCCAGGCCTGAGGGACAGCCTATGCAAATGCAGAGAGGCTAGATGACAACAGCAAGTAGGATTACCTTGGCTAGAATATTTGAGTCCCTGCAGAAGTTCAAACCCCAGCTCTGTCAATCAGCTATTACTTGAGTGGCTTTAAGCAATAGACTTCAATACTCTGGGCCTCCATTCCTTCTTTAGTAAAGTAGGGGAAGTAGGAATTCGGAAAGGAGGAAAGGTAGATAATTTGTCAGGGCTCTTCTGATTCTGAATTCTATCATACTAGGTCCTAATTTACAGTTTAATTGGAGAGTGGTCACCACGAATAAACAAATCTATGGCAACAGAATTTTTTTTAAAAATTATTAAGAACAAACTATATGCAATGTGTTTGGCCTTTATGTAGCACTTTGTTTTATAACTTTTATAGTAGACTTTTCATGTATTCTTGGGTATAGTAGGTACTTAAACTTGTGTTGAGTTGTGGGATCAAATTAAATTTGTGTCTTCTCCAATATTAAACATTCCTTGAGGGTAGGTACCTTGACTCATCCAAATCTTTTTGTCTCCCGGAAAGATGCTTTGTACACAGTAGGCACCAAAGAAATGTTTGTTGATTGATGGCAGCTAGATAAGCACAGATTAAAGATTTAAGGGCTTAAGTTTTGGCTTTGTAATTTAATACTAGCTGCATCACCTTGAGCAAGTCACTTCACTCATAGCTGTGATCCTTGCCACCACCCTAGGAGGCAGGTGAGAACTTTCTCATTCTATAGCCTTTTACAATGCACTTTCCTCTCCGTGGGGAGCCAGATAGGTTAAATGTCTTCTCCAGCTAAGCCACCAAGGTCCTCCTCTGATAGCTCATGGTGACCCTGGGCAAAGCCTGAGGACTTCTGATATCTCCTACTAAGCTGGAAAAAGCTTAAAATATGGACCCAGTGACTGTCTATCTGCTGTCTGAGGGCCAACTTAGCTCAATTCAGCACTAGAAGCCAAATGACTCCCAGGTAATGATTTTTTTCAGCCACAATAACCCATGAAAACCTCAGCCATATATGGAGGAAACATACATACATAGGAAATGAATGGTTTTTTGAGGTACAGAAGTAATCTATTCAACTCATTAAATGCCTCTTATTTGTAAAGTACTGTACTAGGTCCCAGGAACATGAGGATGAAAAGAACTAAGCCTTTACAATAATGATGATAATAATAACAACAATGATGATGATATTTATATAGCAATTTAAGGTTTGCAAAGCATTTTAAAATAGTATCTTATTTTATTATCATAAAAACCTTAGAGAGTAGGTGCTATTATTATCCCTATTTCACAGATGAAGGAACAGAGTCAGACAAAAGTTAAGTGACTTCCTTAAGGTCACATAGCTACTATAAGGTGTCTGAGACAGGCTTTGAATTCAGGTCTTCCTGGCTCCAGATCCAGAACTTTTTTCATGGTCCTCAGTTTTCTCATGTTTAAAATGAAGAAATTAGATTAAGGTGGTTCTTGGGGATTCACAGTGAGCAGCTGAGGCACAGGGAGACAGTGACTTGGCCAAAGTCACACAGCTAGCATGGAGCAGAATTCAAAGCCTTGAACCCTTTTTTGTTACACCATATTGCCTCTTTTAATGAAATGTGTAATAACTTGTTTCTTTTTATTCAGAAGCATGAAAAAGATGGTCCCCTACACAGAGTATCTGCTCAGTAAATGTCTATTGATGGTAATGAGCAATAAATTTTTTGAGTATGTCAGTTCCACTGTTCCAAAGCCTTCTGTGTGTAAACTACTTAGTTTGAAGCTTGAAACCTTCCACAAGCAACTCTACTTTGTCTGACCAGCTGTCTCTTACCTCTGGAGAGGAAAGGTGTAAAGCAGAGGTGTTAAACACATAGCCCCACACTTCCTGTGCTGCCAGAGCCAGGCCAAAATGTGACTGGGAAATACTTCACAAAATAAAGAACAATACAATAGAACATAGATAATGTGAGCATGTGCTTTTTTAAGTGATATGAGGACGCAAGGATCTTTATGTACAATTTAGACCTCACCACCACTACCAATTTCTATTTGAGCTTTACATCACTGGTATAAAGTATGTTGGACTCACATGTTAGTTTGGCAGACCTGGTTTAAAGTTCCAGTTCTAACATTTATGTGCTGTGCGACCTCAGGTTTTAGTCATTTTCAGTCATGTCCGACTCTTCATGACCCCATTGGGGGTTTTCTTGGCAAAGATACTGAAGTGGTTTGCTATTTCCTTCTTTAGCTCATTTTACAGATGAAGAAACTGAGGCAAATAGGGTTAAATGACTTGCTGTGGGTCACACAGCTAATAAGTGCCTATGGCCAGATTTGAACTTAGGAAGATAAGTCTTCCTGACTCCAGGTCTAGCATTTTGTGCCTTACCTTGGGTAAGTCACTTCAACTCTCAGAGTCTCAATTTCCTCATCTGTAAAATGGAGATAATAATAACATTTATCTCACAGGGTTGTTGTGAAGATTCAGTGAGATAATGTCTTAATGTCTATAAAATGCTTTGAAAACCTTAAAGTGCTATATAAATACTAAATATTAATTATTACCTAGGATCATAGAATTAGAGTTTGGAAGGCCCTCAGAGTCTATGTAATTTAATCCCGTCACTTAGTAGATGAAGAAAGTGAGGTTTGGAAGGCACCCAGGGGCACAGAAAAAGTTTCAGGAGCAGGATAGGAACCCAGGGTCCCTGGCACCAGAGAGTAGTTGTAAGAAAAGTGTTTTGTAAACCTTAAAGTAAAAATGGGAGTTATTGTCGGTACTTCCTCAGTCTAAGTAATCTGATCTATTCAAAGTTCCCCAAACATGCCTCAGGGCTTTTTGTGCCTTTCTTCATGTGGCTGCTTTTGCTAAAAGGACATCTTCCTTTCTCTTCATCTAGTCCAATCCCATTCATCCTTCAAGGCCCATGTGAAGTCCTTCCTCCTTCTCTCTCTCCTCCCCCTCCACCCCCTCTTCCCCCCCTTTCCACTTCCTCCCCCACCTCCTCCTCCCACCTCTTTTTCTACTCACCCTCCTTCCCTTCTCACCCCCCCCCTTTTCCTCCTTCCCCTCTCCTCCTTCTTCCCCTCTTTGAAGCCTTCCCCACATGCCCCAGTCCATAGTGGCTCTTTCCCACAGTGAGCCCAAAAACTCTCTTCTTCTTCTCTAAATAATTCATTTGGCAACTACATAGAAATTGGCTTATGATTTTTCTGGTATGTTTGTACTTATTAATAGTTAGGCTATTTAACTTTTCAACTATTTAGACCAGTTCTTTCCATCTTAAAATAACCTCCTTGAGGGTAAGGAACATAAATCACTGCAATTTAAGCTGGAAAGATCTTTAAAGATCATCTAAATGGGAGTAGAGGCCCTGAAAGATGACAGAATTTGCCCAAGGTCACCCTGGTAGTCACAGTAGAGATGGGAAGAATTACTATTTGAGAAATCACTGAATTTATTTTAACTTGGTAATTATTTTCTTGCTTCCAAAACAAGGAGAGAGCACGTACCTCCTTGCTCACAGAGCCATTCCTAGGGAAAGCATGTTATAAACCTTCAAGTGCTCTATATGAGTTCTGACCTCTTCCTTCTTCATGAGGAAGCTGAAGCCCAGAGAAGAGCTAGCTCTGTGCTGGAGGTCCGAGAGGCAGGTGGTGGCCGGAGATAACTGTTTCCTAGTTGGTCTCCTCCCTTCCCCTGCTTCTTTGACTTATCATGATAACAATCTCCTATTCTTTCACTATACCACATTTTAGAGTCAAAGTATTACTCAAACATTATTATTAGTAGTAGCAGCTATGAATCTGTCATTATTAGCATATGGAAAGACAGAAGCATTAATTTGAAAAAGTCATAGGATCATAGACTGAGAGCTTTTCAGGACCTCACAGTCCATTAAGCTCAACCTCCTCCCTCTCACTTTACAGATGAGAAAACTGAAGCCAACAAAAGCTAAGTGATTTGCCCAGGGTCACACAGTAAGAGTCTGAGGCAAGATTTGAACTCAGGTCTTCCAGACTCCAAGTTCAGCCCACTAAACCACCTATACCACTATGTCTAATGTCCATGATCTCATTTGCTCCTGACCACAATCCTGCAACCCCATAAGGATTTGGTTTGTTTG